CTCTCACGGCTTGCTGTGCTCTGCCCGCCATCAGCTCGTGCATGTGTTATTTTCTCAAGGTTATTTTTAATTATTTTTGTTGGTAACTCAGTTATCTTAAACTTTCGGAAAAGGATTTTTTTTTTCTTTCCTCACCTGTTGCTTAAAAAAATCTCTGCATTAGTGTGGTGTGTGGGTGTATGTTTGGTTTTTAACCCCAACCTGCAAATTTACTTAATGTCCAGAAATTAAACTGGATTTATCTGTTTTGCAAACTAATCTTGTGTTTGTATTTTTTAATATTTTGTTTTTATATTTTTTCTATCCAAATAGACCTAAAAACTGAAGAGAAGGTGACTTTTAGATTTGAATGGGGTATTACTTGGAGAGGGGGCAGCTTCCCTCCACTGCTGTTAATCTTTAGCTGTCTTCATTTTAATCTGTTTTGTTCTTGTTAAATTGAAGGCAAACCCAAGTAACGCTTCCCTTAGCTCTTGATGGCCTAACAGAAGCAAGGAGCTTGGTTGCAAAACAGAAATCTAGTCTGAGAAGTGGTGGTGTTGGTTCAACTTGTCATGCCTGTCCTAAACGTTCCTGGTGACAGGAAGGAATAAAAGCGTCACCAGTCGTTTTGGGAGGCTTGGTGTCGCAGATGGGTTAGTGCTGCTGTGGACTTTGCAATATGCGGAACAGAGTCTCACGCTGTGCTGTGTTCCCGTGCAGTGGAGGCCTCGGTGCATGGCAGTAATGTGCACTGCACGGACAAGACCATCGAAGCCGCAGAGGCCCTGCTTCACATGGAGTCTCCGACCTGCCTGAGAGATGCCAGGAGTCCGGGTATGTCCTGCACAGCTCCTGCTCCCTGGACTGTCTCTCCATCCGCCAGTGTTTATCACAAGTGCATGGGAAACCTGCTTGTCTGTGGAGTTGCGTGTAGTTTAAAACATTTGCTTGCATATTCCAAAAATATTGTTTTGTTTGAATTTTATGTGATTTCCTTGTCACATAAGGAAACTTAAAAAAAGATTAAAAAATTCAATTTTAGGTGATTTCCTTATCACACAGTAACATACTTTAGGTGATTTCTCCTCTCTGAGACAGGTTATTGAATATAGATACTTGAACAATTAGGCATTTGAAATGGACTCCTTATTTTACATTGCTAAAACAAGTAGATATTTTAAGGGAAAATATATTTCTAATCTTTTCTTTTTCTATTTTAGAGAGAATATTTAAATGCACTGTGTTGCATAGTAGTACCAGTTTAGAAAAAATGAAAGTTAGTTACCTTGCATTTTCCAAGATTTAGTACTGAGTATTGCTCTTCTATTTAATATATTTTGTTTAAAATAATTTTATATAGGTATGATAAAATAGATATGAAATTTCATCATACGCTCTTCTGTCTCTCTCTTTTCTCCCCTCCTCACCCTCCCCAACATAGTGGAAGTTTTTGTCCCTCCTTGTGTGTCAACCCCAGAATTTATCCATGCTGCCATGAGACCAGATGTGATCACAGAAACTGTGGTGGAGGTTTCTACGGAGGAGTCTGAACCGATGGATGCGTCTCCTGTTCCAACATCCCCGGATATCCATGAGCCAATGAAAAAGAAAAAAGGTACAGATGCCTCTTTGGAGCAGCAATCTAAGAATCTGTTTCTGGTGTGCCCCCTGGTGTGGATGCTGTGGTTGGTAGTGGTGGAGATAGGTTAAACTGTCTGATTTTCCTCCTCCTATAATAATGCAAAGTAAATGAACGCTGAAGCATGAGTTCTAGGGGGATGAGTGTGCAGCAAAAAAGAGAAGAGGATAAAGGAGAAGGATGTAGTTCACAAAATGGTTAAGGAAAAAGGCTTTTTCTTGTTTCATTTTGTTTTTATTAAGCAAGATTTAGGGAGTGGAGTGAAGATAAAGGAGGATTCAAAGTGGACCTTTGTGGGTAAATAAATATTTGTTCCCTGAAATATGAATGTATGTGGAGATGGGGTGATCTCAGGGATTTTTTTTTTTTTTGAGGGAAGGGGAGGATTTCGTCCTGCTTTTGGATGTTCTTTGGATATTTGGACCTTGGCTATATGTATTGACAATACTCTGGAATCATCTCATGTCCCACACTCAATAGCAAGTATTGCAAATGCCAGAAGTCAAGGCCACTGTGAGTAGAAACAGTATCTGCTGAGAACGTCAAAAGTTACGCAGGGGCTAAGAGCTGTAGTGTGTGTATTATCAGGAGGTGCTTCATGAAGTGGTGTTTGTGGTGGAACACTGGAGTTGTAGCAGGAAACACCAGGCCTCTCTGGGATGAAGTTCTTGGCTTAGGTCATTTTCTAAGGCACTGCAGCCAGGCTTGTGCTAGATTCTCCGTACCAGCTTTATTAATTAAGTTTCTGCAGTGGATATATTTTGCAGAGTGTTCTTAACTACTGCGACCTTCAGGAGGAAAGCCATTTTGTGACAGCCAGTCTCTAATTCTAGTTCTACAATTAATTCTGTACATGCCACAATAATTATATTTCAATATATATTTCACTTATATTTTGGGGTGGCAGGGCGAGGGTTGAGCTGTGCGTGCCTGCACTGCCGCTGACTTGCGTGCGCTGGTGAGAGTCCTGCAGGACTGTGAGGCAGCGGGCAGGGGCTGTGCCAGCGAAGATTCACTGTGAGCTGCAACTCCATTTCCTTACTGCAGTTGATAACTGATCTGCCTAAATGTTAACCTACAAACCCATAAATCAGTTTGCAAAATAAATAGAGTCTTTCCAGTAAGAGAGGTATCTTATTTGTCTGATTGGCTTGTTTTAAAGGACAGACTATTCAGAAAAGTGTTTCAAGTGTTCAGCAGCCAAATGGGATTGCTGTTAAAGGCTGGCAGCGGATGAAGTTTCTGGTCTACCAGAATTTTTTACAGGCGCTGGTATAATTTACATAATTTTAGGAATATCGTTTTATTAGCACATCCAAACACACAAAGATGGAATATTTGCTTGTAATTTAGAAAAGAAAAATACAATTCTGATAAAACAGCATACATCTATTAGGATTAGATTTAAAACAGACGCATGTAAAATGAATATGCAGACTGGGATACCCGGAGAGTTGTTGCTCTGCTGCAAATGGCATTAGACAAGAACACTGTGATGGAAAAATGTTAGTGACTGTGGCCGCACACTTGATTAAACTGCCTGTTTGTTTTTCCACTCTTAGAGAAGTCATTTCTGGACAGGTTGTGTTGCAGAGCTCTGCTCAGCAAGTTCTGACATTTCACAGAGGATAGTTTGTATGTAATTTATTTTTCCTGTTGCAGAGAGTCCAGACGCCTGTTTTTTTCCATAATAAGTGACTGTTAAAGTTCAGTGTTTAATGAAGGGCGTTGCTCATCAGGCAGAATTAGCGCTCTTGTGCTGGAGGCAGGAGATTTAAATGGTTGTTGTTTCCCTATGGCTGTGGGCAGGAGCGTGGCCTGTTTGCAGCCTGCTCCCCTGCGGGGTGATGCTCTTCCCTGCTCCTGCCTCTTTACCTTGAGGTCAGCCACGTGCAGAGGGATGAGGGAGCTGCAGGCCCTGCCAGAGAGGGTTTCCTCGCGCGCCTGGGTGCTTAGTGCGATGCGCACACCCCAGAAACAAGGCAGGAGGGAGGAGGAGTGCGTTTTGTAGCGTAACAGGTGCTGGGCAGAAAGTGTGCAAATACGTCCAAGTCTTGTTCCATGTGCTCGGCGTTTGCCTCACCTAACAGTAACTCATCAGCAACTGAAGTAAATCTGCATGTAAAATGGGCAAGAGGATGAACAATTATGTTGGATACATGGCAATAATAATGTAGGAATTTAAATTTATCTATGCCCTTAGCAAGGAAATGACAAAAAAGAAGAAGACCGTATGATCTGCTTCTTTCAGGAGAGTGAAACTGTAAAATACTTTTATTCTGTGTTTAATACTTCTTCCGTTTTCTTTCTATGTGCAGCTGGCCGTAAACCAAAGACCCAACAATCAGCTATTTCCGATGGGTCTCCAGACCTAGGTGTAAAGAAGAAACCCAGAGAAGGCAAAGGTATATTTTTCTCTATTGAGTCTTTCAGATTATGTGTATATTTATATTGTATATGTTACTGGAAAAGCACAGAATGTGGGAACTTTGGTGGCTAAATTCCCACTGCCTTTGTCATAGATTTAATTTTATTGCAAGCCTTCCACCTTGCTTGTACACGGCGTAGCAGGGGTTGTGTGCTGGCACTTTGCGAGCACACAGTGCCACGCTCCACAGTTGGCAAGCTTGGGTGCGTGTCCCGCATTTTCTTCTTTGCTTGGCTTGTGGTTGGTGGCTCGTTCTGTCTCCTGTTGGCTCGTGCTCGATGCCTGATTTCCTGTGCTGCCACTGAAAGGCCTGTTGCCGAGCACAAGCAGCGTATGAGCGTTTTTGGTGGTGGTGGCTGGAAACCTGTTTCCTTGATTCATTTGCAGCCTTCAGTGGTAACAGGGTACTTCACTAAGAGATGCCATTTGGCGTAAGCAGAAAAAAAAATGACAAGATGCTGCTTTAGTTGGTGGGCGAGGGGCTTTGTGCAGGAGGGTCCTACTTTTCTAGTGCTGCCTCAGCTGCACAGCGAGGCCCTTTCTAGTGTCCACGTCCCTGGCCTTCAGCGAGCAGAGAGCCCAGTGCTCGCAATTGGCTTTCGAGTGGAGTACCGTGTGCCAGCTCTTCCCTGCGTGTCGATAAGACTGCGGATCTTTTTTCCTCTTGCTGCACAGAAAGCTGTTTGGTGATGTTGCTACATCTAGGAGGGACAAGAGATTTAGTGACTTTTAGAAGCAGCATGAGGGCCGAGGGAGTGTGCAGTTGTCAGCCTGAGCGCAACTATTTTGGAATTCGTTTGAAAGTAAGACCTCTTCTGTTTACATGACTTCTTATCTGGATATGACTCCTGAGTTGTCATATTTGTGGGTAGACTAAGAAAGAATGAGACTGATGTCGTGTAGATATTAAGTGTTTTTTTTTTTTTTTAATTGATTTTCTTAAGCTATAAACTTTTGTGCAGTGGCTAATGTTGCTTCTTCAGTTTTGAGGGTAGCAGTGGATCTTAATGATGGTTAGATCTTTGCATCTGATGTATTTAAAAGTCTGTTGCTTGATATATTTTTCTTCTTTTTTCCCCCCCTCTAGTATTCTTAAAGACTTCTTAAGCTTCTTTCTAACTGAGAGCACAGTTACAGCTGCCCACTATCAGAAGAGTGCTTGAAAAGGATCCTCGTTCCTAGTTTGCTGTACCATGGTTTTTAAAAAGGAGGTCTGCATTTCACTCTTCCAGTTTCTGTGTCTCTCAGCAATTTCTCTCTGTAGTTGTTTGTTTTGGGATAAGGGTTGTCACTGGCTCTTTCTTTTTTTAAAAAAACTTCTGCTGGCCATTTTAATGATCTGCTTATGCCTCTTGTCCTTGCAAGATACCGTTACATAATCTATACTACACTTGGCATAAAGTAGGTTGTTTTTCTTAATGTAAGCTAACTTAGTGTTCTGCAAACTGTTTTGTAACTGAATTTCATATTTGTTATTTTAAAATTACTTGCAAATACAAGCTACTTCACATGCAGTTTTGGTTTTGGAAAACACAAAAACTCTTCCTAGAGCTCAGTAGTGTCAGTGGAGTTAAGTCCTGGGGATGCTGCTTGTGCTGGGAAGGAGATTGCTTTTTGTCCTTGTGGATACTCCTTCCCAGGTGCTGTCCCCAATACTTTCTGGTGCAAAGTAAAGCAGCTGTAGATCTTATTTAGTTGTCCTTTAGAGTTCCTTACAAAGGAGGAATTGAAGATGTATTATTAAGTAGGATGGAGTTGCTACCATTGCTTCCAGCATAGAGAAATAGCAGTTTAGGCTTGGTTATTCTCTTTCCTTTTTTTTTTTTTTTTTCCCCTACCTTGCTTCAATACTCTTCCTAAAGCAGAGGCCGATAGCATAAAGGTGCTGGGGATTTTCTCCTGTTGGTAGCTGTGGGACAGATTGTTGCCACACGCGGTGCCTTGTGTCTCTCATACCTCCTGGCCGCTAATCCTTCTATTTTGAGACTGCCGCTAGCGTTCTTAAATAGCTGGCGGCTGTACTGGCCAGCTAACCAAAAAATGATTCCCATACACAAAACGCACTCTGTCTGGAAGTGCAGATAGGTCACGGTCATGCCTAGCTCCTCAGTGCCAGCCTTGCAGCATCAGGTGGCCTGAGACCTTTCGGGGAGGAGATGGTAACTGCCTGTACCTAAAGAAACTTCTGCCTCCCCGGCCAGCTGCAGTGCGTGTTTATGTCTACAGGCTGGGCTTTCTAATGCGAAAGAGTAAATATACACTTACATCTGTATGGACAGATGTAAATCTGTCCATACAAAAAGGTTTAGTAATGTGTGTCTCTCTTCCTCATGTGGCTGTGTGTTTGGATTCATTGAATTAGGCTATGTTTTAGGAGGAAGTATTTTAAGAAGGGTCAAAACTTTGTTGTTCATTTTGAAAGTGAGCTCCTTATTAAATGCCTGCTAGCTGTGGCTGGCGTAACAGCAGTGTCATTGGGTGTTCCGCTGTGGTATGCGGCTTCCAAGCAGTACGGCTGTTCCATGCTCCTCCCACGGGGAAAAAAGCTGCTCTTTGGGTCAGTGCAAACTACAGGGGAAAAGGGAAAACTGTTGAGTCGGTAGCACTGTTCCTGCAGAAAAATGAACGTTAGGCAGTGGGTTCTCTTAAAGTTCCTGTTCGCTTCCTCGTGCTAAAGTTCACTTTTATTTCTGCAGACCCTACAGCATTTGGCAATGAATCCACGAATTCTATTTCTGAGGGGCTAGGGAAAAAACACTGGATTAATTCCAAGAAATACTCTGCAGATGAGTGTTTTTGTTTGTGTTTTTTTTTTTTTTTTCCCTGGAGTAAATGTCTTAATGACCTGAAAATTTACTGGTCTTTTTGTTAAGTGCAGTTATGAGGACTTCTCACACTTGGCATGAAACAAACAGTAAGTTGGGCCATTCTAACTTGAAAAATGAAATGAGAAAAATGTTTTCAAAAAGCTTTATATTTCGTTAATGTTATCCTTTCCTTCCCTAAGATACAGAGTTGAGTTATCTAGAATGATTCCAAGATCCCTGGTTCTCTGCTTGGCTGTTCTTTTATAGAGGTTAAATTCAAATGTCTCTGAAATCCATCGGAAGCTGGATTCTTGGTAGCTCTTGGACTAGTTCTTATTGCTTATTGGTTTGGTTGGTAGAATACATTAGTTATATCTCTGTGAGATGGTGTTTCGGAAGACAAACTCCAGCTTTTCTCTTTTGAGACTTTTCAAAGACGGTTGACTTCTTGGAGTCTGTGACATTGTCTTTGATGTGTTGTAATATATGTCTTCATCATGGCATAACAAATGCTATGTTGGGACACCAAATCTCAGGAATTAATGATCTTTTGTACTTATTATATAACCCTCGGTATCCAAAGGGCTTTGAAAACATGCTCAAGTGAAGTAACTTACTGAGGTTGTGGTACAGTGCAAGGAGCCTTGTCACGGTTGGAGGTGGTTTGTTCTTGAAGCACTGTGTATCATTTATATATTACAGCCTGTGCCCTTCACAGTCATAAAATGCACTGATATTTCAACTCCTTGGTAAGAGAACATGAGGAAAACTTCCTGAGCTCTGCTCTTCCTGTGCCTGCTGAGAGGCTGCAGGTTGTAGTGACTTGGTGCAAGAACCTAGAGTGGGTGCTGGATTGAAGAGGCTCCTGTGCAAAATGTTTGGATTGTCTTCTTCCAGAATGTAAATATTTATGGACATTTAACTAAATGAATGAGTGCTTGCCAGTACCATTCTCTGTGTGTCTCATTTCTAATACAGGCCTGTATACAGTTACCTGTATATGGAGAGTTTGCTGATAATAAAAGTGGATTTCTAATATCTTAGTGCTTTCTGATTCCTAGGAAATACAACGTACTTATGGGAATTTCTTCTGGACCTTCTCCAGGACAAAAATACTTGTCCTCGATATATTAAATGGACTCAGCGAGAGAAGGGCATCTTTAAACTTGTGGACTCAAAAGCTGTCTCCAAACTATGGGGAAAACACAAAAACAAACCTGACATGAACTATGAGACTATGGGAAGAGCCCTGAGGTAACCTCCATTAATACCTAAATTATCTATTTTAATTTTAGCTCTCATTTTTAGTATTGACTATTGATCTAATAACATTTCTGAGTTTTGTTTTTTTTTTTTTTTTTAGTTTTGTATACTTGCTGGCTTGACTGTTTATGAAGCATCAGAGTCTTGTAGTTCTGTTGCTTTTTATGTTGGTAGTTAATATGCTTTTTAAAATTTCAAACGTGTATTTTAAAAGGCCAGATTTTTTTCAGCTACATCCTTGAATTACTTTGATAGCTCTTTTTTTTCCCCCGTGACTTCTCATATTGTAGATACCACCGTGGTTATTTCAAATTTTCTGATTATTGTAGAGAGATTTATTCTTTAAAAACTATCATTATGTCAATTACTACTTATTTGTACTTTCTTTGCAGATACTACTATCAAAGAGGAATCCTTGCAAAAGTTGAAGGACAGAGGCTTGTGTATCAGTTTAAGGAGATGCCGAAAAACATAGTTGTCATAGATGATGACAAAAGCGAATCTTGCAATGAAGATTTGTCAATGCCTACAGATGAAAAGTCTTTGGAGAGAGTGTCATTATCTGCAGAAAACCTCTTAAAAGCTGCAGCCTCTGCACGTGGAGGAAAACACTCCTCTCAGTTAAGCTGCACCAGACCAGAAAAGGCAGTCACCAGAGTTGTGAACATTGCCTCACCAGTGCACGATACTTCATCATCATCATCTCGCCCCTCAACCACCACTACTACTGTCCCAGCAACGACAGCTCCCAGGTTGGTTTTATGGCAGCTTGGCCTTGTCATCTGCTGACTTTCTCGGTTAGGAAGCTGCCTTTTAGTTTCTGTTTTTATACTTTAAAATCAGATGTCTTTATTGATTTGCCAGCAGGCAGCAGTGTAACATGGTAGGGCACTGTCGAAGTCTAGGGTCAGAGACTAGAGCCAATTGGCTGTCAATGTGCATGCCCTCAGGCGTATTTTAAAATTATGTAGAAGGGGGGAAAAACAGATACGAATGCTGCTAAACTACTGAGCTCTAATCATAGATGCACAGGAGGGTATTTTTTTTAAAACAGCCCATGAAAAGTCTGTAAATTCTAGATTTGTCTGTCCTTGTTTTCAGCCCTGATGATGCCCTGTGTTTCCACTTACCCATCTTTCTTCTTCTGCAGGACTGTACGTGTGGCTATGCAAGTGCCTGTCGTAATGACCTCTCTAGGACAGAAAATCTCCACGGTGGCAGTACAGTCGATAAACACCGGGTCGCCGTTGATAACCAACACCAGCCCAACCACAGCGACAACTCCAAAGGTAGTCATCCAGACAATCCCTACCGTGATGCCATCCTCTGCTGAGAACGGAGACAAAATCACCATGCAGCCTGCCAAAATCATCACCATCCCCGCCACACAGCTCACGCAGTGCCAGCTGCAAGCCAAGGCAGGCCTGGCTGGCTCGGGGAGCATTAACATCGTGGGGGCGCCCCTGGCTGTCCGAGCACTGGCGCCCGTGTCCATAGCGCACGGGGCGCCCGTCATGAGACTCTCGGTGCCTGCTCAGCAGGCGGCCGGTCAGACTCCTCCGCGGGTTATCAGTGCGCTTATACAAAGCCCAGAAGCGAAATCAGACACGGCAGCTTCGAAGCAGGAGCACGAGGTGAAAACGCTGCAGCTCGTGCAGGAGGAGAAGCCAGCGGAGGGGGGCAAGACTGTGACTCACGTTGTCGTTGTTAGCACTCAGCCCTCAGCCATCGCCCTTCCCGTGGCTGTGAAGACAGAAGGAATCGTAGCGGGCGAGAAGTGAGGAGCGGTGCGCGCTCTTGGCGTGGACTTCTGCCTTTGAGTATACTGACATAATCCGGGGGAGGGTGAGGGGATGTGATCACCAAGTCAAAAAGGAGAGTTTTGAAATGTTAATAAACACGCATATGTTGAAGACTTACTGGAAAAAGATTATTTTCCCATGTTTTGGTGAGATTGAACCACATTGAGATGCTGACGGAAACTGCCTCTTCCAGTTGGGAAACAGCTAACCTGTGGAGAAGGAAAGTTAGAGGGACTGAAAGGGACCAAACAGTTCACTACGCCAAGTTACACTAGGAGCTGGAACACTAAAAGAGCTGTGCGAGATACCTTGCCTTGGTTTAATTTTCAAGCAGAGAGGAAAGTCTCATTGTTACAAATGGCAATTTTGGTGCATTTTATGTGCATACCAGCAATTACTACTGTGTGCCCACAGTACTCAACTGGTGCTATGTGAAAAACTCTTGCTACTAGGTATTCTAGAATATGAAATTAAGGAGAAGATTAAAGAGCTTCTAAAAGAAGACAGAGAGACCTAGAGGGATTTTTTTTGTATCATACAGCTTAAGCAGATTTTAAATGAAAGCCTTAGACTGATTTTCAGTTATCTTTCTTGAAATAAGCTAATGGCTTGTTTGTGTAAAGCTTTTTTATTAAAACAAATTTTTTAAAAATCTTGTACCTAGCACAGTATTGTTATAGAATTACATGTAACATATTTTGTATGGTAGTTAAAGTCTGTCTAAATTTCTTAATTGTGGACAAAATAGCAGCAGGCTTTGGGCCTGTGCTATAACATGCCTGTGTCTCTCACTTAGCCTTGACATCTGTGCATACATTTCAGTTTCAACTCTACTCTTGTCACTTGAAAGGTCACACCCAGCATGAACTTTTGTCAGGTAGTTTTAAACCTGTAAATTTTTTTTAGTTGAAGTTAAGAGGGGAAGTACCAGTGTTCAGAATGAACTATAATAGTTTGTATATTCAACATTTGAAGTATATTCTATTTTGTTGTACTCTTGTTTCAAAGTGTATTCAAGTAGGTTTTACTGAAATATAGAAATGAAATTTAATTGTTTGGTCTGCTTTATTTTCCCCCATTTCAATCTGTTAACTTACTCTTCTGCTTCTTTTGAAGTCTTGCAGGCTTTCAGCCTAAGATAGCTGATAATGCTGTGGAAATTTGGGACTTGTCACTACTCCGAGTGCCTGACTGCAGCTCTTCCACACAGTATACTCAAGTATTTGAGCAGCTTGCAGTAGTTGGTGAGGTAACTTCTGGCAAGGGTCTGGTTGTCTGAGCTATTTTTGGGATGGTGTTTGCAATGTTCCTATACTGAGGCTGTTCATGAAATTTGTGGAGAGACTTGAGTGGCTTGAAGTTGCTGCCCCCCAGCTGCGAGGTGACATCTTTGCATGTGCTCCCAGTGTGTTCTCTAAGGCTAAGAAAGCCAAGTGTGCTTAAATCGTGCTGAGAATCACTAAGAACTTGAGCAGTGTGAACTAGCTAGTTGTCCTCCAGCTACACCTGCATTTCTTAGGGCTGCACCATGAAGACAAGGTGGAAATAACTGATTACTCTAGGGCACTGTTCTTTCTGGCTATGTGATAGCGGCTGGGAGAAAGCACTGGTAGGTAGAGGCTCTGAAAAAGAAAAATACTGAGTTGCGCTTCTGATCCTTTAACATTTCCAACTGCTAAAACTTTGCTTCAGCGCGGATGAGTGATTTGAGGGAGATACTGACTTCTGAGTGGAGTAAGATTCTCAACAGATTTCCTCTTTATAGTAGCACTTAAGTTACATCAGGGTGAAGTAGGGGTGAGAACAGGTTGTATGTGAATTTCTCCACAGTTAAGAGTCTGTGGGCAAGCGCTTGCCTTAAAACAGGTGCCGGGCAGCTCACCCTGTGTCCATGGAGGCGCCCAGGCCGGGCTACAGCAGCTACTGTAAAAGCAGCACATGAGGTGGCGAGCACCCCGATGGCCAGGGGCACCCTCCCTTCTTTGCAAGATGTCCTTAATCTTCAAGTAATTAAAGTCTAGACCAGTTAGGTACTTGGTGCCTGGTGGAAGAGTTTCAACAGAAATCTGGAGCTGAGACCTTAAGTAATGATAAAGGAGATGAAAATTAAGCGCTTGTACTGAAAGTTTTTCTCTCTTTTTCCTCTCTCTCTCTCTCTCTCTCTCTTTTTTTTTTCTTTTTAGGTATTGTATTGAAAAGTAAGCTACGTGCACAGCAGAGTCATAGCAGTAAGCCTCATTCTGCCCCTCAAAAGGTAGGAAGGGTGGGAAGAGCTCCATTCAGCCAAGTCAGCAGGTGGGGAACTTTAAATTTCTTTTGGAAAAAAAGGTTCCTTTTCTACTTACCAGGCAGGGAGGAAGAGTTTAAGAACAAATGAATGCACAAGCTGCCAAGGAATAAAAACAAACATCTGGTGTAGAAGCCAGGAATCCTCTGTGTCAGCAGTTAATGTAAAGCAGCAAAAGTTCTTGCAGGTGAACTGTGATTCTGAGCCTGGGAAAAGGTGACAAGTGCTCCTTCGCAGAGGAAATGTTGGAGAAGGGAGAGGATTTGTTTCCAGAAGGGGAGGCAGGAAAAGAAGCGGGAGAAAGTGAGAAGCAAGACATGGGCACTGGGTGGACAGACTCAGTCGCTGGTGAGGCAGCTGTTCTGGAGAAAAGAGCAGTCCATGCTGTGGAGGTAGGAGGCGTTGGAGCTAGAAGACAAAATCACAAAAGTGTTTTTAAACCCATGTGTGTCAGTCTTTTCTGCAGGAGATCCTTTTCCAAATGGCTGTTACTTGATCATATATGAAGGAGGCCTATCTCTGAGTATGAAATGTATCTCTCTGGACTATTTGTAGTTAAGACCTTTCCCACACCCAATTTAGATGCGCTGGAGGGGGGCAAGGTTGTCTTCCAGGAAATGGATATGGACCTGCAGCAGATGACCCTCTCTTCAGCTCGAGACAGGAGTTCACATCGTGGCACGCGCGCGGGGAACGCAGGCGCGCAGGGAACGCAGGCGCGCGGGGAACGCAGGCGTGCAGCTCCAAGCGCTCCTTGCACGGCCCCTGGCCGCGCTCCGGAGGCTCCTTGTGAGGCACACGGCCCCTGGCCGCGCTCCGGAGGCTCCTTGTGAGGCTCCCGGCTGCTGCTGCGTGAGCCGCGTGCCGCCGCTGCAGCGCCCACGGTGCTGGCGCGCTCTCAGCTGGCCGCGCGGCGAACAGCGCGTGCACACGCTGCCGGAGGACGTGTCAGGAGCCCTGAGGACCGCACTCGACACGGGGGCACTGACTGGCCTGGAAAGGGTGCCCACCCGGCTTCCAAGGACTAAATCCCCTTCTGCTGTGTGTGTGTGTTTCCAGGTGTGCCCCTGCGCTTCCCGCTCTTCACTGCTAGCTGTACATGCGGACGGGCTTTTAGTCAGGGAGCGATTGCAGTTTGTGCTTTAGCAGGGCCCTTCAGCGTCGGTGTGCATGGGGTTCCTGAGAGCTGCTCTGACGTGAGCTGCCCTTCCCAAGCCACATACAAGGTAGGTAGCAATCTGTATCTCTGGCGGGAGGCCCTCTGTCACGGAGCATTTCTTTAGCTAAATTTCAGAAGAGGAAACTTCCTACCTGTATCTGCGATTCTTAGGTGACTTCATAGGTCCCTGCAAGCTTTTCTTCAACAGGCTGTTGTGTGGTGGCGTTAATAATTGCTGCTTGGCAAGGAATGTTTTACTGTAAAATCTTTGTATTTGCTTTGCTTTGTAAAATCTGAAAGATACAAAGGGGTAGTAACAGAAAAATACTTTTGCAATCCCTTTGAAAGGTCTGTTCTTTTGTCCATGCGTAAAAGTGGGACTAATAGCTATTTCTGATGGTTGGTGTAGAAGAGCCCAGGTTTAACTCGCCCGTGGCGAGTAGTAACTTTACCAGATGCGCGAGTGGGTCCGTAGTGTGGAGTGAGCGTGCTTTATACAGAGAGCGTTAAGACATAATCATAGTACCACTGATTTTATGTAAATAAATATTAATACCTACTTTTTCTTTCAAATCATCCGTGTCATCTTTAGGATAGAAGTGATGCTGCTGTGTAATCCACAGGTGAGACACTAACTATGGAGGGCAGTTTAAAATAAAGATCTTGATTTTGAGTTGTGGTAAAAACACTGATCTAGAAGTTGTCAGGGAATCCCTTTCAGTTAGTTTTGTTACACTTCCTCAGATTGGTAAGATCTACCTTAGTGTGCAAGTCTGAGGCAAATGTCTGTATGCTTTTGCAAAAAAAAAAAAAAGAAAAAAGAAAAAAAAGCATTGCTAGCATCTCACAAACAGCATTAAGGTGAGAGGTTCTGTGCCTTGACATAGCTCAAGAACTGATTGGGGTGAAGTACCCTGCTGGTTAAGGCTTAAATCCTGGGGTCTTCCACTACTGGATCTCATCAACATTTTGGCTTTGGAGAACTGCTGGGACATCAGGGAGCCCGAGTTGGGCAGATAGGCAGGCAGCAAGAAAGGGAAGAGCTGCCAGAAGCCTTGGTTCCTACTCACCAGGACATGTGCAGAGATCTCCGTTAAGCTGGAAGGTGTCACAGTCAGAACAAGCTAAATTCAATGTGTGCCCCATTGAGGCAGTTCAAACAGGAGGTATTGATATTAGTGGGAAAGATCTGAGTGGCAGTATCTACTTCTGACCTAATGGTTCTCCAAGGGAGAGAATAATTTAATGAGCTTGCAACAGCATCTACCTTTTAGCAAATCAAATAAATGCGTCACTTCTTCCTTCAGCAGGCTTAAGCGCAAGGGAAAAGTGTCACTGCTAAAGCTAATACAGCTTTTAATCAAGATTAAAGCAAAGGATCTGTTGAGATCTTTTTAGCCTTAGTGTGCTTGTAGGGTATGCAGCCACAAGAAGAGCTTTGAAGACAGTTTTAGTGTAAGAGTCATACTGTCACATCAACTTAAAAATTAAAAAAAAGCTTCCTGCTATTTCATAAGAAAATTATTTAATAATAATTATAGCAAGCAAAAGCATTTCACTGCTGCAAGCCTGCCTCTTGCAGAATAAAAACAAAGGACATTTCACTTAAGCTTTCCAAAAGAGTAAATCTACAAAATACATTTTATAGCTAGAGTAGAAATAAAACGCTGGAACTGTCTGGGAAGTTACCAGCTGTTTGCCGAGGCTTGCCTGTCTTTATTAGAATACAGCTGTCTCTCCAGTCCTGTGCTCAAGCCGGGCGGTGCCATTCCCTGAGGATACTGCTGAGGATACTGCTGTTAAGAGTTGCTCCAGGCGAGGGAGATACCCCAGCCTCTGGGAGATACTCCTCCTCCTCCCTGCCTTCAAAGCTGTCCTTTAAGGACAGGAAACAACACCCAGAGGGAATTGAGTATCTCTCTGGCCCTTTTTTCCCTGGAGGAAGACTCCGTAGTGCGGCACTGCCACAGGAACCACGGCTGTGAGCCTGCCCTTGGGCGGCAGCCGCTAAGGCAGGACTCGGAGCAACACGACGCAACGTCCTTCACATCCCAAGCGGCATCTGCTGTGCGGGGGGAACTGTAGGTGCTTGAGCTTGGCTTCTCCTGCCTTATTAGTACAGTGTGCCATCGTCAAGGCCCCAGCAGAGAGGAAAGAGGAGCCCAGTAACAGGAACATGCTTGGGGTCCTGAGGAAAATGGCGCTCCTTTGCACAAGGAAAAGGGAAAGTAAGGATTTTTTAAAACAAAACGACTGAGCATACAATATTATCCTTGTTCTCAAATCATGGGCTTCTACCACAGCTGCACTTTCTTCTGGAAACTTCCACCAGAGGTAAATGTAAACTCCAGGTGCTGGTGTGACTTTTTGGTAGCTGACTTACTAAAATACTTGCACAGTAATTTAAAGTCTAGGCTTTATCTTCAGCTGCTGGAAAAAGTAGCTTAACTTCTCCAAAGGTAACACTTTCCCTGCAGGTACAGGGAAATCTGGACATAGAAATTAGAGGAAAACAGCAAACAAACAAACTTGCCATGAAAGAAAAGCAGCCATGACAACCTCTTAAAAGACAAGGCCTGGAAAGGTCACGGAGAAGCTCTGAAAGGGGCAGTTTGCTGGTGGCATCACCCGTAAGTTGAGGATAAATCACTTAATCTGTTTCAACTAGCAACTGATTTAGGAAAGGGCAATAAAACAGAGAGCAAGAGACATAATTTCCTTTTAAAAATATTTTATTAATAAACACCTGGGAACACTTAGTGACTACAGGCCTCACCACACATGGAAGTGCTGCTTTCTTTGCTCTGCCTCATCTTTGCCAACCGTCCAACATCAGCCCTGCTCCTGGCCACAGAATCATTAGGGTTGGAAAAGACCTTCAAGATCATCGAGTCAAACCATGGTCTCTTCCTCCCTCTCCCTTCCTGCCTTTTCCTGCGTACTGCCACATTTACAATCCATATATCTGAGGCCTGTGGCATGGTCAAGAGCACCCCTGTGTTCACTGAACAGCTCTGGTGGAGCCTTGGTGCTGTCAGAGGACCTGTCTGTGCCCCAAACGCAGCTGCAGGGATTTCAAGTGAAATACAAGGTCACCAACTTCTTTCTAAAAATTAATGAGATTTTCTAACAGGTTCCAGTGTCACATTAGATTTTGAAGATAAATAAAAGAAAGTCTTACAGCATAAAGATATTGGCCCTTTACTGAAACAGGAAGAGTGACAAGACTACAACTCCAAACCATTCAGGGAAGTAAGAGTGGAAGCAGACAAGAAACTCCCTGGTTAGGTACGTCCACGGAGAGGAAGTTCAGGAGAAACAAGATACCAGTGACTGCGTATGCTATGGGGTATGTGTACACTAGACACGTGTGCTTTCCTCTGGAAATGTGAGGATGTTACTGTGTGAGTACAGTAGCGAGCCCCACTTCCTTGCCTGCTCTTACCACAGGGAGAGGCTTCCTCCTATGGCGCTTTGGGAACCTATTTCCACTCCTTTTCAACAACACTTTTATCTCAAGTCACTTAAAAAATGAGAAGACAATGCTAGTATTTCGCATCTGAAATACATTAATCTTTCTTCATACTGAAAAAGGTTTAAAAAAAAAAAAAAAAAAAAAAAGCAATGCCTCATTCCCTTTGGTACTTGCACAAGCTTAACAGGAAATAAATAAAATTGGCATGCTGTCAGGGCAAGTTGTTTTATACACGAGTGATTTTTAATTTAAACACTGAGATCCTCCATGTTCATTAAAGGATTAAGGCCTTAGACAGAGGGGATACTGAAAGGAGAAACTTATTTTCCTTCAACCTCTCCAACCCTGCTAGGGCATGAACACACACAGCAAGAGCACGGACTTCTCTCTCCCCCCTGTGGAGGCCTCAGATTAACAAGCTCCAAATGGCAAGTGTAATTCCAAACAAGTGCCTGAAAAAAGCATTCAGTCAACAGTATTTCCTCATCTTTAAATAGTTTCCAGCTTCAAAAAGTTTCTTTAAAATAAAAGTGGTGAATTAAGACACCGCAATACTAGGTGGCATCCCAACGAATTATAACAGTCTGTCAGGGTCTTGATTAAAGCTAAAGTCACACACCAAGGACAGGTGATCTGAAGGGTAGTTGAATGATGGCAGCCTGTTGGGCCCAATCTGCTCTTCAGTCAGCAAGCCCAGAGCTGAGTTCACGTTCAAGGCGTGCTGCGAATACCAAATGTAATCCAGCGTGTGCCGGCACTCTCCTGAGGGACGGATCTTCCAGGTGGTGTAGGGCGGCTCCGACTGCCCGTCGGGGCTCAGCAGCTTGTACGCACTGTTCAAGTTGAGGCTGGAGTTGGAAAACTCTCTGTACACCTCCTCGGTGGGCTCTGCGTTGAAGTCTCCGCAGATTATCAGAGGGATCTTTGCTCCTTGGGTGATATTCTTCAGGTTCTGGAGAAGATCACAGCCTTGCGCAGAGCGAAACCTCTCCCAGCCGGTGCGAGCTTTGAGGTGGGTGACAGCAATGCAGAACAGCCTTCCAGTTTCGCAGCACTTCAGCGTTTGTGCTATGGCCACCTGGTTGGTTTTCAGCTTCATTGCAGTTAGCCGAATGTTAGCGCTGTTGATGAGCTCGAAGCGGTCCTTGAGGAAGAACAAGGCGCAGCCGTCGGGTCCGTTGTTCTGCTCCACGTCCAGGCACGGCGACCACGGCTTCGGGAAGAAAGTGCACTGGTAGCCCAGGCGGCTGAGCAGCGGCTCGAAGGTGTCAAAGTAGTGGTCGACCTCCTGCAGGCACAAGATGTCAGGTTTGTATGCAAGGATTTCCTCCAGGATGAGGCACTTCCTTTCTTCCCATTTCAGAGCTTCCATGGGGCACTGAACGAAGTTGTCTTTGCCTTCCCCAAGAGCTGAAATTGGACGGGAAAGAAAAAAGAGAAGGGGTCAGTAGGTAAAACAGGCTTTTCCTCCACTGCTAGCACTATCCTGAAACTCCAGCTCCAAAACACCGTGACCGCCAGAACGGCGCCGCTCCATCACCAAGCGTTATTCCCAGTTAGGCCAGGACAACAGCCCTGCATCCATCCCCTTTTTCCATGGGGCAGGAACTACCAGAGGAAGAAACACAAGCCTCTGCAACACACTTTGCTCTCTCTGCACAACATGTGTACCCCAGATTTCGCACAGGGCATGGGATTTGCAGGAATAACTGCTGACTTAATGGCTGCTTGGCTTCGCAAAGAGAACACAGTCTCAAAACAGTGAAGTCCCTCCTGAAGGAAGTGTTAACTTCCTTTTACAAATACACAGCTAACTAGGGAACTTCCCTCTCTCCAAAAGTCACCACACTTCAGCAAGTCCTTCCCCATGTGGTTGCCACAGCTCAACTAAGAAGAAACACAGTATTATAGGGGTGACTTGGTCACAGAATGCTACAACAGCCCTTAAACAGGGGATTTTCCCCAAAAATGATTACAGTAAGGCTGCTGCATAAGTCAACTTTCAAGTCCTGACGGTAACATTTATTCTGAAGTGTAAAGGATGAAGAATTCCCATGTCATGTCTGAATGGATGAACAGCTGAGCACTAAGCTATAAGAAAATCTGAGCAGAAAAGCTTTATAAAGACTTACAGAAAGGCAAGGCTATTTTCGGGGGGTTAACAACAACGACAAGTGAAGGGCACCAGCTCTGTGGTTATACCGGGCCCAGCCTCGACAGGAAGGCAGAGCTATGTTCGGCTTCCTCCAGGAGGGAAGGAGAGTGAGGTTCGCCCACCCCAGCAGCGTGGGGCTGTAGGCTCCCACCTTGCGCGAGGATGTTCCACTGCATGACCCTGATGGGCCGGTGGCTGGCGGCGGCGCTGGCCCGCAGGTCCACGAAGTCGCGCTGGAAGCGGGGCGGGCGCTCGCGCAGCCACCCCTGGCACTCCTCCAGCAGCTCCTGCGGGGCGCTGGGGTGCACCGGGGTAGGAACGCCCCCTCCGGCCTCTCCCGGCACGCGTGTGCCTCACGGGCGCAGGACGCGGCACGATCGAGCGGCTCCCCATCGAGTTCCAGCCCACGCACCACGTGCGATGCTCAGAGGCAGAGGGGCCTCGCTCAGCCCGCTCCCAGTACAGACACTGCTAGTCCTATGGCACGGACACTGCCTTGTCTGAGGCTACACGCTGGCTGGTTTTATTCCACTGAAAGCAAAGATATCTCCCATCCAGAGTAGCAACGCTGTGACTAATTCTACAGCACGGGCAGAAATTAAATTAAATTTTTTCCTCCCCCTCCTCACCAAGGCGGGCCCAGGAGGCGAGCAACCACCCACTGCCTCAGAGGCGGCGTTTGCCTTTACCCGAGGCTGGCGGGACCGCCGCCGGGGGGGGAGGGGTTAACGTCTAGCAGCCACCCTGCCCTTAAGGCAGCGTTCTGTGAAGGGCAGCGTTCTGTGGGCCGGGAGGGCGCTCGCCCGCAGGCAGCACCGCACCCCCTACACCCCAGCCCCCTCAGCCCCATGCTGCTCCAGGACTGCTCCAGCACCCGGAGTCGGACACACGCGGGTATGGACAGCTTTGCCTTGTGCAGGAGGCGGTGAGGGCCCCTCACAGCTCCCTCTGTCTGCTCCGTAGGGCAGGCAGGCAAATCTGTGTCCAGAGACTGTTGCAACTTAACCCTCAGGAAAACAGACAATTTTTAAAGCCTTTATTGGAATACCTTGGTCAAAAACAGTATCTATTTCTGTGCTTAAGATGTGCAAGCTGATGGAAATGTCATTAAACCTTTCTAAGGAAGTCTTAAATTGGGAATTCATAGGGAAAGCAGGAAGTCTCTTCCCTTCTCTCCCCCTCCCGTGTCTCTACTTGCTCCTTAAAACACAGGTCTCCCTTGTTAAAACATGAGATTTCTCACACCAAAACACAGGCCTGGGTCACACACACCAATATCCTCCAAGGAGACACTGCTTTTCCCACAGCTGTTGGGATTTCAGGGCGCTGCCACACAGCTGTGCCTGGCCAGAGCAACAGCAAGGACCATTTCAGTCAGGAACAGGCACAGGGGCCTCGGCCCTCACAAGGGCCCAGCACAGCCCCTCTCAGGGGTGGCCATGGAGCCCATGGGGAGCTCGGCGCCGACCCAGGGCGTGTGACAGCCCCCAGTTAAATGCTGCATCTTCAGGGAAGGAAGAAGCTGCTTTCTGCTGTCCCAAGGGTCCCGATGGCCCCTTGGAGCTTTAAGCAGCTGTATGCGTTTCAGGACCAGCAGCTGCACATCAGGGCTGGGCCCCGCGCGCTCCCCGCAGAGCAATGCCGCGGCGCTGCCCTGCTGCACGGGGACGCTGGCGGCCGGCAGGCCTGTCCCCAGCACAGGTAGCGGCAAACGGCAGCTCTTTGGGCTGGTGGAGCCACAGGCAGATCAGGAAGAGCCCCGGCCTCTCGAGGGGTCCCGGGGAGGGGGTGCAGGAGCACCAGCAGGGACTCTGAGGAGACTCGCCTAAGATGGCTGACGAGTGGCGCTGGCTCCCGCAACGCCGCCATCCACCAAAACCATCGCTAGGGCTGAACCTTCACACAGGTTCCCACAGGGCCGGGGGCAGGATGGCAGCCCGAACAAACTCCAAAACCGCATGCCAGCTGCTACTTCCACAGCATCTGCCTTGCCCATGGCAGCAAGGGAAGCACAGGGCTGCTGACCCGAATTCACAGAACCACTGAATGGCTGAGGTTGGAAGGGACCTCTAGAGATCACCCGGTCCAACCCCTCTGCTCGCTCCAGCAGGGTCACTTACAGCACATGAGAATTGTACGGATCTAGGGACAACTGGCCCATAGCTTGCTGGGGGGTAAAGGCTCTTGCCCACACTGGCAGAGCCCCCTCCTAAGCTTGCAGGTAAGCCCATGAGCAGCTCTTCGTGAGATGTTGCAACAGCAAACACAGCTTTGCTCTTAACACCAATTATCCATGCTATTAATGCCAGTTATCCAGAGTGCTGGAAGGCCAAAAGCCTTCCTCCTGGCACCATAGGAGCAGGGAAGAAATTAAACTATTCATTAACCTTCCAAGCAGCAGAGCGTGAGGTCCAAGGTTTCTTGTGTCTTCCAGCAACAGCATGGGAAAGAAGCTTCTAGAATTTCTGTCAACATGCAGTCACCAACTTCACCCTAACAGCTTTGTTAGAGAGAAGCACTGCAGCACACAGGGAGGCTCAGTGTGTTGCAGAGAGGCACCTGGGCCCGTCCTTCCCTTTCTGAGCAGAGTGGCCAGCACTCCATTGAGTGGCCAGCACTCCATGGCCTCAGCCTCCTGGTAGTGTTTTCAGTCAGCTCCCCACCTCGTCAGGGTTTCACTGAAAGGTGAATGTCCCTGCCACATTTGCAGCCTGCTTCACTCCTGCATCAGTTGCCCTGGTCTGAGGAGCATCTCTCAAACACATGCTCTCCTTGCAATGACTGCTTGAAGCAGTGTGGCACTCTGCATCCCCACATGGGAAATACTGTACTTCATGCTATCACACTACATATATAGCTTTGTTTTGGCCAACAGCAGGGCTGTTGCCCCAGATGATCTGCATAAAAAAGCAGCAGTCGTTACTGCTTAGAGTTCAAGTCCCCATTTTGGCACCTAAGCCAGTGCACAGGGAAGCACAGGGGAGTCGGGAACCTCGCAGCAGGATTCAGAGAGCTGCCGTGCCATGGTGGTGCTGCCTAGTCAAGCCTGGAAAGAAGAGGACGTCCCAAACCCTGCTCCCAAATAATACACAGGCTCAGTGCCTGGCACAAGCTCCAGAAACCTTTTTCTTCATCAGTGCGTGAATCATGAGCCTGCCTTTGCCAGCTGCCAGCACTCAGGCACATGTGCTCCGGGAAGCTTCCATCTCTTCCCGCATCCTGGCCTTGCTTCAACAGGAAGCCCGAGGCAGCCTGGCAGGCACAGAGGTGCATGAGGGCTGGCCAGCAGCAGCAGCTGGACTGGACAGCCCTCCACCCCCAGCTGAGGGCAGCAGGGACAAGTCACTCCTCCCACATGCCAGGTGAGTGTTTGGGCCTCAGCTTCCCATAGTGAGCAGGGAGCAGCCCTGTACCACCCCTTCCTCAGCAGGGCTCTGGGACACGGGCAGCCAGCACAAGTCTTAGCTGGCAGCCTCTGCTCCAGGTGCATTTCCAGCCACAGGGCCGGGCCACCCTGCAGGGCTGCGTCTCAGCTGCAGACTTGGCAACACAGCTCTGCTCTGACCCCGCGCATGAGGTCGGCGGGGACAGGGAGGGAGCACGGCATGTGCCAGGGTATCATCCTGACGTGGGCTCTCGTCAGAGTCTGCATCCAAGGACGTGTGCGACCTTGGCTGCTCTCCAGCACCTGCTCCGGGCACACGGGGCAGGCGCAGTCACTGATACCCAAAGGCTCAGGCAAACAGGAATCTAGCGGTTTAGCAGGGCCACGCCGCAAGAGAAACACATGATGAATCAAGGGCGCCACATGGGTTGCAACACTGGCAGAGAAGAGTGGCCGGACCAGTCAGTCCAGTACGCAGTATGTTTTTAGTCATGGAATAAGGATATCGAGCCATGCACAGACATCTGAAAAGTTATATACTCAATATGTTGTTTTTTTCAGAGAAGTCAGGAGCGATTTAGCCCTGTCACATTAACTAATGCTGGCAGAAGGGGACCGCTGTGGAAGCGATAACGCACCACAAACATGTTGTCTAGCAGCATCTTTCATAAGCCAGCACTTCATATCATTGCATTCTTGGGTGCCACTTGTTCGTACTCCACAAGCAAAAGCCAAAGCCACTTCCTTAAAATAAAAGCAATCGCTCAATTACTCAAGTATCACTTGAGCTTTACAGTTGCTTGTAAGAGCTGCTTGTGCAGGAGCAATTACTCACATTATCATTGGATAATTTGGAGATAAGCAAACATCTGCTTCTATTTTGAATGAAACATGCAGTCCTTGGTGGCCTGCTTAATTAAAGCAAGTGTTCCTTTAATCTCATAGTAGTACTCGATGCTGGGAAGAAAGTGAAGCTTCATTTCCATTGCAGACTCCTCCGCTCCATTCGCGCAATCCCTCCCCACCGTCTCTCCCCAGAGCGAAGCTGCTACTATTCCTGAAGCGGCTCTGCCTACACCCACCCCGCGCCGGCTGCTCCCGCGGCGCCGCTCCCAACACCCGCCCCACAACGTGCCCCAAACCGGGCACAGACCCCAGCGCATCACCGCCCTGGGGGGCAGGCTCCGCTCGCGCATCCCCGGGGAGCAGGGCCATGCTGAGGCAGAGCCTCCCCCCGGGGACCGCGTGTTTGGGGGCTTCGGCAGCCCCCCACGTGCAGGCGCAGCCCCACCGGGCACAGCCCTGCGGCCGCGGCACCCACCTG